GCTTCGGGGGGGGCTCATTGGCGAAGAACTAACCAGCTCTCCCCCTCCACCTCCCCCACACCGCCCCATGTGGTGACTTGGGGGGCAGGGCTCCCGCGAGTGTAGCACCCCACCCCTCTCCTCTCCCTCGCCACCGCATGAGGCTGGCATCAGGCAAGGCCCATGGCGCAGCTGGGGACTGCGGTGGCGGGGCCTTTGCTGCTCCGGCCGCTTCGGAGGGCTTCGGATTTGGGACGGCGGTCCCGAGTGAGGCCCCTCTGCTCCTATGGCGTGCTATGGGGTTGGCGTCGTGCCGGCGTTCTGGTTGGGTGGCCAACCGAACTCCAATAGACTGGGACCCCGCATGGCTACCCTAGCAGCTGGCGATGCCAGATCTGGCCGTGGCTGCCCTGGCGGCTGGCAACGCTCGATCTGGCTGCTGCTCTCCCTCCCTTGCTCAGTGTGCGTCGCCCTCGATGGATCCCGGCTACACTGGCCGGCCCCAGCCTGTGGGCGACTCTGGTGGTTGGGATCCAGACAGGGGGAAACCCCTAGTCGGCTCTGGCCGACCAAGACGATGACGACACCTGCGGGCGTCGATTTCTTCATGGAGACGTCGGTCAAGGTCTACCCTTCCACTACCCACCCCCTGATCCTCGGGTGAAAACCCTAACTCCGGTGGGCGGCGGCGGCGGCGGCGTTCTCGATGTCGTGACCTTCTTGAAGGCACCACCTTGAGGGATGTGGTGGTGGGCACTGTTAGGGTGCGTTGACAGCAGCCATTGGCGTGTCCTTCTTCATCCAAGCTTTAGCTTTTCCTCCGTCGTGTTCTGGCCGTTGGTTGTGCAGCTTCCTCTGCTTTTGCTGAGCCTCGTCGGCACATTTGGGTGCTGTGATCCGCTCCTCGGGACTACCCGTCGGCTTCCATCCGTGTTAATGGAAACTTCCCGTTCTTTGATGGTTCAGCGCCTTGCGATCCAAGCGAGGAGGTTGTGACCTCCTTCAGAGACGGGGTTGGATGGTCCCGTCATACCGAGGTCCTTAGGTTTTGGTGAAGGCAGGCCATGTAGGTGTAACTTCATTCCCTCTCCAGAGCCGACATTGCTCCCGACCATGTGTAGTCGCGGTGGAGGACCTCAATTCCTTCAGCTAGGTGCTCCATTGTATATCCTTCTTGTGTGAAGTGCTTGAGGCTTATGAGCTGCTTTCCAGGTCCTCTGTATCTTGCTACTTTCTTTGTCCTAGATCCTTGTTGTACTCTGCATTGTACCCTGGTCGGTTGATGGCTTTGTTAATTCAAAGTCGGACTAGGCTACTCTCCCTACTCGGCCTCGGCTACATCTTTTCTCTAAAAAAAAGTAAACTCCTTTCACATACAAACTTGATGGTATACTTTGTGTAACATGCATGTCATATAGTATTACTATAACCCATGGTCGAGGGTAACATCGAAAAACATAGTAGGCCCTATATATTGGATGGAGGGAGTCAGCAAGGTTAAAGTTGACCACTTTAACTATATGTAAGTTGCATGTTTTTAAATTTTGGGTAAGTTGGTATTCTCTGACCTTTGATTCTTCTGTCAAGATTTGTGTTGTATTGTTTCCCCTTATGTAGTTTCATGGCTTCTTGTGCTAATATTTTTACTTTCCCCTAATTGGGCTAGTCAATTTTTTTATTGGGCTTGAAGCCCGTTACCCGTTGCCTGATTCTTTTCTCTGTTTCTATACATTTTTTGTTTATTATTTTTTTGGGATCATGGGTGAGTGTGAATGTATACACACAAGTACTATATCTATACCTACTAATAAAGCAAAGTGCGTTTCTCCTTTTTTTTCATCCGTTCACCATCGAAATTTATTTTTATATTTTGAGGTGGTATTAAATTTTTGTCCGCCCATCTGTATTTTTAGCAATACAGAATTCCGTACTAGGCCCGCACAAACTATGGCCCAGCAAAACCAGCCTACTTATTTGCCTGCCCATGTAGCTGCAAAAAGCCTACTTCTCGCACTGTGCATCAGGTAGTCAGAGTTCGCATAGAATGCCCAAGACTGGGCCGGCCCCTTTTGTTTTTCTGTCCAAATTTATTTTATTTTTACCCTATTTCGTAATTCAAAAAATTTAAAACAGTTCAGAATTTGATTTTTTGTCAAATTTTTAAAAAATATTCGAATTACAATATTGTCTTCTACTTTTCAAAATGTTTGGAAATTAATTTATTTTATCATTCAGATTCTTTTTAAAATTCTGAAATACTCAAAAATTGTTTGTGATTTAAAAACATGTATTATTAAAAATATTCGAAACTTGAAATATATTCTTGCTTTAGTAAAATATATACAGATTCAAAATGGTGTTCGCGTTTAAAAACACATAATACAATATTGTTCTGAATGTTCAAAACATGTCCATTTTCGAAAGTCGATCACATATTAAAAATATGTTTGGGTTTGATAAAAGGCTCATGTCTTCAAAAAATGATGTTGTTTCAAATTTTGTTCATGTTTTTGCCAAAATGGACAGAATATTAATAACATTGTTCGTAATTTCAAAAAATATTCATGTTTCCAAGAATATTCAGCAATTCATTTTTTTTAAAGTTCAAAAATGTTTTAAATCTGACATTGCACTATGTTCTTAAATATTTGCGCTGGCCATTGGTTAGCAGTAGGCGTTTGTGACCGTGGCTAGCGGCACGCAGTCGCGTCTTTAAGGTCATGTGTTCGATCGTTCAACACCTCGTTTTTTTGGATTATCACACCAGTTTTTATATGTCCTTAAGTTGTCTGAAAATAAAGAGGTTCTGCGACAATAAGGAAGTTGTCTCGAGAATTATGAGGAGAACGAGGGACTCCACAAATTATTGCCGGGGTAACTTGCATGTGCCAATAAAAGACAATATGATGGTTGGCTATAATGGAAAATAAAATTGTGGGCACGTGCTGATAAAAGAGAATATGCTGGTTCTGGTCTAATTAATAAAATTTATGGGCATGTGAGCGCAAAAATAGTTGAAGAGAATAAACCCTGATAATGAAGAGATATTCATGCCTGCTTATGCACTGAGTATGCTTATGAAACATAATTTATAAGCTACAATTAGTAATCCATCCGGTTAGGTCGTCGTAGGTAGGATAAAGTGGTCGAAGCAACCATGCCTCAAAGGTCGTCGCGCAATAACCAAATGAGGATGTAACCACAACTCCGAGACGGAGGTGAACCCAGAGAAAAAAAAGGTATCAGTTGGGTGGTCGCCATCACGCCGACCAGCCCCATCACTATCAAAATTTCGTGGGCCAAACATGACACGTAAGAAGACCGCAGCTCCTCGGTCTGTCACCCACCGCCGTGGAGACAATTTTTGATGAACACATCAATTATCTCTCCTGCTGGTTGTTGCAAAAAAAATTATCATCCCGTTGCAACGCATGGGCATATGTGCTAGTGACACCTATGTAAATTATACTAGAGTGTAAAAATTGCACTATTAAGTACTTATTCTTTGCATATTACAATTCCAGTGCATTTTTTATTTTTGTTTTCATTTTCATTCTTCTTACAGGGTAATACAAACGCCAATAATTCATTCTTAATTCAAAAAAATTGTAATTATTTTACTTTATAACTTTATATTTCATTGTCTTTCTTCTTTAAGGGTTATACCAAAGCCACCAATTCATTCCATCCGGGAAATTTATTTTTTTATGAAAATACCACTATTATATGCTTATTTTTGCATATTAAAATGCACATTTTACGTGCAAATTTTTCGTTATTTGTTTTATAAAAATTTGTTTTCTTTCTTCTTAAAGGATAATACCAATATCACCAATTCATTTTTCCTTAGAAAGTGTTATATTTATTTTGTGTGTGTAAGTATGCAAAATGGAAGTACTATGTAATATTTGTGTAAATTATACTAGTGTGCAAAAATTGCACTATTATACGATTATTCTGCAAATTACAAAAAGTGCAATTTCAATATAAAGTCGCGTGCAAGTCATTTTTTTTAAAGCATATTTCTTTGTAAAGGGTAATACCAATACCACGAGTTTATTCTTTCTTTGAAAACCTTATTGTTATTATTATTGTGTGTGTAAATATACATGCAAGTACTGTACAATATGCGTGTAAAATATAATAGAGTGCGAAATTTGCACTATTATATGTTTATTCCGCATATTACAAAAAGTACAATTTCAATGCAAAGTTGTGTGCAATTTTTAAATTTTATTATTTCTTAAAACCAACATTTTTTATTTTGTGCGTGTAAGTATGCACACAAGTACTATATAATATGCGTGTAAATTATACTAGAGTGCCAAAATTTCAATATTGTATAACTTTTCATATTACAGAAAATGCAATTTCAATGCAAAGTTGTGTGCATTTTTTTAATCATTTTTCTTTCTACGCAAATGGTAATACCAATGCTACTAATTCGCTCTTTCTTCAAAAACTTTATTTTATTTTTGTTTTTTTTCGTTCTCCTTTAAGGGTAATACAACGCATTTATTCTTGAAGGTGACAACATGTGCCTTCTAGATTATTATTTTTTTGGGAAACATGTGCCTTCTTGATGCTACAGCCCAATTAGTGTTTTGGGGCTTCAAATTGTTTGTGAGCAAATGCATGAGTGGGGATGTGCGAGGGAAATCGACCGAATCAGAATTTCGGCCAGTTGATTTCTGTTGTATATGTCAGTTTTTTGAAAATCCCACTGGCCCAAATTCTAAATTGTGTTCAGGATGACTAGGAAAGACAAGCAGTTCAAAGAGTTACTAGCAGGATGTCAGGCACTCCAAAGAGTTACAAGCAGCTCTATGTTCGTCCCAACTTGCGACCAGTACCATCAGGCCAAATTGGTCAGTGGTGAACAGAAGCACGGAACAAAACCACATTGCCTGAATCTCGTATGTGGCGCACATCGCCGTACAGCGCAATTCCATACTCCATTGGGAGTACATGCAGTTATGTCTGGTTTGCAGCTCTATGAAATGCTGCAACGGTTCACTGTCTCACTTCTTATGATGCTCTGAAATGATGATACTCTCGTCAATCCTCATCAAGATGTTGACCACCTCCCTCATCGACGGCCTGGACTGGCAAGCCGTCTGCGTGCACGAGACCGCCAGGTCCAACAGGTCCAGCGCCTTCGCCTGCTCGTGCTCAGGCCAGTACGTGATCTCCTCGTCCAGGCAGCTCATGATGCTCCTCCCATGGTCTGCCTGCGTCGACGTCAGGTTGGACCTCATCCAGGTCACGATGTCGACGCCGTCCCCGAACGCAGGATCAACGGGCATCTTCCTGGTCAGGAGCTCCAGAAGCACCACCCCGTAGCTGTACACGTCGCTCTTCTCGGTCAGCCTCGTCGAGTACCCTTGCTCTGAACGCAAATCACAACATATGTTATTGTTAACCCTGAACTTTTCATAGAAACATTTCACAGAAACATAAAATGCTTCAATGTCTAGAAATATGTTGTATCCAAAAGAATATTTGTGAATTTACCTGGAGCAATGTAGCCGAGGGTGCCAACGACGACCGACACCGTCGCATCCGCATCCTCATCGCCGACGATTTTCCCCATCCCAAAGTCTGTTATCTTGGGCACCAACTCGGCATCCATCAAAATATTGCTCGACTTAACGTCCCTATGGACAATCATGGGCACACAGTCATGGTGAAGATAGGAGAGGCCTTCCGCGGCACCGAGGGCGATCAGATGCCGGGCCGTCCAGTCCAGAGCCACCTGGGGCGTCCTCTCATGCAGCACCTCGAACAGCGTCCCCTCCGGCATGTACTCGTAGAGGATCATGCCGACATTTCTTCGAATGCAGTACCCGGCCATCCTGACGATGTTCCGGTGCCTCACCGTGTTGAGTATCTTCATCTCAATGGGGAATCCGCACCGCGACAGGTCGACCGTCTTGACCGCCCACTGCTTCCCGACCGCAAACTGCGTCTTGTAGACCGTGCCGTGCCGGCCTTTGCCGATGACGTACTTCTCGCTCAGGTTGTCGGTGGCCCGGAGGATGTCTTCATAGGTCAGATCCTCCGGCAGCTCCTCTGTTGAGTCCAGGTTGCGTACCGAGCCGCTTTTCGCCGATAGGCGCTTTGACCTCTTCACAATGTAGTGGATAGCACACAATACAGCAACCATAACTATGAATGTTGACAGCAACAATGCGACGATAACTTGTGTGTTCTTCCTTCCTGTTTTCCGAGACCGATCTTGTGAGCAAGGTGCATTTCCAGGATGTGTGCACAACTGAGCGTTCCCGCGAAAAGCGTCGGGAGACTCGTCGGCGAGTTTACCCCAGTTGCCAGCAGGGAGCTGGCCAGAAAGCTCATTGAAAGAAACATTCACTGCAGAGAGTGAGATCATGCTGGAAAGCTGCGACGGAATCGGACCGGATAACGAGTTTGCCGACAAGTCGAGCACCTCCAGGCTCCGAAGGTTGCCGAGGCTACTTGGGATCTGGCCACTCAGTCTGTTGTTGCTAAGGTTCAGATTCTGGGAAATGTACTGAAGGTTGCCTAAGCTACTTGGGATGACACCTTCCAAAGAGTTGCCACCAAGGTCCAGCTCAAGGAGGCCCTGTGTTGCAGTGAAGGAGTCCGGAATTGTTCCGGTGAGCTTGTTTCCACCGAGCAGAAGATATTGCAGGCTATCAAGTGTTGCAACCTCTGCAGGTATGCTTCCATTCAGAAGGTTACTTCCAAGGTCCAAATGGAAGAGCCTCTTGCAGTTTTTAAGCTCCTGCGGTATCGGTCCGGTAAGCCGGTTCGACGAAAATCGCAGAGTCCCGATCATGCTTAGAGCTCCGAGCTCGTGCGGTATCGGTCCGGCGAAGTTGTTGTCGGACAGATCAAGCATGGTGAGGTTGCGCCATGAGCCGAGCACGCTCGGAATCCTCCCCTCAAACCGGTTGCCACTCAAGTCCACAAATGACCACCCTGTGTTCGTGCCCAGATCTTCAGGCAATAAGCTTCCGCTGAACTGGTTGTCGTTGAGCCTGACCCTCCACAGAGACTGACATTTTGCTATCTCGCCGGGAATTCCCCCACTGAACTGGTTGTGTCCAAGAACAAGCACGGCGAGCCGGCCGCCGGTGCAGACACCCGGCGGAATCGCGCCGTGGAAGCGGTTGCCGGTCAGGTCGACACGAACGAGCCCATGGGTCGTGTTCAGCCCCAGCGCTCCCGGGACCTCGCCGGTGAAGTTGTTGAACGCCAGGATGAGCTCTCTGAGCTTCCTCGACTGAGTGATCCCGGCAGGAACCTCTCCGCTCAGGCTGTTGTTGTAGAGCTGCAGCTGCTCCATGTCCGGCATTTGCCACAACGCCGGAGGTACCGTCCCATGGAGCGTGTTCTTGAACAGGGCCAGCTTCCGCAGGCGGCCGAGCGCGCTGAACTCCGGCGGGATCGTCCCGGAGAGGCTGTTGTTCTGCAGCTGGAGCTCGACCAGCTCCCGGCATCTCCCGATTTCTCGTGGGATCGTTCCGGCCATGCCGTTGTCCGCCATGGAGAACCTCTGGAGCCGGCTCAGGTTCCCGACGAACCGCGGAATTGAGCCGTTGAACCGGTTGCCGTTCAGGTAGAGCATCGTCAAGGACTTGCACCTCCCGATTGCCTCCGGAATAGGTCCGGTCAGCCCGTTTTTCGACACCGCCAGCCTATCCAAGTCGAGGAGCTCGCCGATGCTCGCCGGCAGCTCGCCGACGAAGCTGTTGTCGTCGAGGAACAGCTGCTGCAGCCTTGGCAGGGACGCGAAGAAATCCGGCACCGTGCCGCCGATCTTGTTGTAGGATAGGATGATGTCGGTGAGGTTGCCGCAGTTGGCAAGGCTTCCGGGGAGCTCACCGGTGATGCCGCCGTTGCCGTCGACGGCGAGGTAGGTGAGCCGGCACTGGGCCGGGAACTCGGGCAATGGTCCCGAGAGCGCGTTGGCGCTCAGGTTCAGCACCCTGATCCCCGGGAGCGCGGCCAGCAGCTCCGGCGGGATGGCGCCCGAGAGGGAGTTGTTGCTGAGGTCCACGTGCTCGAGGACAGACGCGCCGGTGCCGGCGGCGGCGGCAGGCACAGCCGGGATCTCCCCGGCGAGCTCGTTTCCGCCGAGGTCCAGCTTCCGGAGCTGGCGCGAGGAGAGCAGCTCCGGGGGCACGGGTCCCGTGAGGCGGTTGCGGGCCAGGAGGAGGGTTGCGACGCCGGAGCATGCGGCGAGCGCGGCTGGGACGGGGCCCGCGAAGCCGTTCCCGCTGAGGTCGAGCGAGGCGAGGGCCGGCGGGAGCGCGCAGAGGCGCGGCGCGGACGCGGACAGCGCGCCCGCCAGGCCCAGCAGCCCGGAGAGGTTCAGCGCGGTGACCGCGCCGGTAGCGGAGCACGTGACGCCGCGGAACGCGCAGTGCTGGGTGAGGGTGGAGGCAGAACTGGTGTTGGTTTGCCAAGAAGGTAGGAGGATCCTCTGCGAGGCCTCGGGCAGGGCGGCGAGGAAGGAGAGGAGGACGGTCGTCGGCGTCGGCGGCGTGACGGAGGTGGCGGGTGGCAAGAGGAGGAGGAGCAGGAGTAAGGAGATGTGCGACATGGATGCTTTGGTTGGCGCGTGGTGCGTGCGTGGTGGTTCTCCGGCGATTTCAAGGCGGCGACGGCGGGGAAGCGGAGAAGTGAAATCGGATCACCAAACCCGCGCACGCACACCTGCCCGCACAGAAGAAGCCGGTGGCGTGCGACGCTTGCTCACCGTCATCGGTTGTATTTTCGCCATTGTCGGCCATATGCTTGCATTGCAGCCGAGCAGAGTGGAGCAGAGTGGCAGGTGGCGCAGCCCGCACCGCAGCGTCGGGGATGACGGGGTGGGTCATATTCGGAGCGCAGATGCTAGGGGACGAGCGTGCAGGTGGAGGGGAGTGCGCTTTATTCGGCAGAATTTCTGCTTTTTCATCTCAGATCAGACAGGCACTGTGTGGGATTCCTTGTCGCCACTAGATTAGATTTGTAGTAGTGGGATTTGGTAGGCGCCCGTCGCGTCACTGTTTGATTCTTGCTATTTGATTCTCGCCAATATTTCTCGCCACCATTTGATTCTTGCTATTTGATTTTCGCCACTATTTTGCACTATTAACAACATTGATATGCTGAAGTTTTATCAAGTTGTGTGCGCTCCAATATCTATTAACGCATTTTACCCTAGGCATCATATATATTTATATCTTTCTAAAAAAAATTAAAAAAATAGTTATATCCTCCCTCCATCCTATAATATGAGATGTTATCACAACCAATGTGTACTCATATATTGTTTGTAATAATATCTTACATATATTTTTAATAATAATCCATATCCAATATTAATTGGACAAAATGTTCTTTTTAATTGGACAAAAAACAACATAAACAAATAAATGGTTATGCAAGTTTTGAACTCAAGATCTACCAAGAGAACACTGCACACAATAGTCACTACACCTCCAGAATGCTTCTGTACTAGTTCATCACAAGGCATTCTTTATACCACCGAATTCGCTTAGGTAACCTACTGCCTTCGACTATTGATGATGATTTAGGATTTATTGAGATGATTTTGATGTTATTTGGTTCGAATGTGTATGAAATTGTGGAGCGGTTGTTGTGTGGCTGCCCTACTTTACATCACCTATTGGAGCCCTATTTTACATCATCTCTTGGAGTTAAAGGTTTTTGATGATGTAAAAATTCACTTGGTGATGTGAATTTTGCTTGAAGCACAATTTGGTGATGTATTTTACATCATTATTGGAGATGCTCCATCTTCTCTTTTGGTGCCATCTTCTAATCGGAGCTTTTCTTCTGCTATCACCGTGGTGGGTGTACATTGTGAAGCTATCCGGGTGTGGACTCGGCTCCTTGATGTCATTTGGTTGTTGTGATGTAGCCTTGGACGGAGGGGCGGAGATTCGTTGGGGTAAACCTGGGCCATGGCCCGCCCATGATTTTTGTGTTTTTTTTTACCTAGGCTATCCTTCGAAGTCCAGTCAGTTGCCAGGTAATACACTAGCCCCGAAAGACCGGTGAGGGGACAACCTGAGAATATCCAAATACTTGATGAGCCCAACTGCTCACTCTCACTCTCACTCGTCCAAAACATAAGGCCCTTCATTAAAATAAATGGATACCCCTCAAGAAAAAATTAAAATAAACGGGTTAGCTCATAACCTCATCCAAAACTGAACTACTTACGCTATCACACAGAAGAGTAACCCAAATTGCAAACCACGTCTTTAACTGTAAAAATATTTGGATGCCAGCAAACGGTGGAGCTACGTGAGGGAAAAACTGGGTTGTAGGGTAAAAATTTGTGCTCTCTTTTAGTCTGGCCCGCCCAGCAATTTCATCGAAGCTCCGCCACTGCTTGGATGTGTCTCATTGTTGTGATGTAGCCTCGGATGTGTGTGGCTGTTTGTCTGGGTGTGGAATCAGTTACTCGTTGCCCTTCGACTGCTCCAATAGCATTGAAGCATCATGGATGGTCTTGGTTGATTGGAACTCTTCCTCTACAATGGTGGTCTTCCTCGTGCAACCTCTCGTTCGTGTTATCTGATGTGATCTATTTTTTACTACCCTTATTGTCCTCTATAATTTCTTGGCTCTAAGGTTTCCTGTTCTTAATGAATGAAAGCAGTGTTGCTACATTTTGTTAAAAAATTATGATTTATATCCGGTATCTTAAATGCTCGTATTTTTCCGATAACCTTGGTCAAAAATTACAAACGTTTGAATTTAAAAAAAATTATATGCAGTATAATTTGGCAGAGGGAGTAATGCTTAAAATTTTATTTTCTTTCATGTGTGTGTGTGTGTATTGGGGGTGGGGAGGGGCGTGCCCCCTCTCTAGTTTTGGAAGGGAAACTTGCATGCTAGAAGTTGAAGACCAACACATGTAGATTGTTGCACAAACTTCAACATGCCACCCTTATTTCCTGCATTAATCTCTACTCCTAATGTCTGAGTTGGTAGGATTGTGTCCATGGTTTATTTGCGTATGGTTTATTTTCATTCGGTTTATTTTCATCTCTCATCCCACCATCATATCTTCTCACGTTGATTTTTTAACCTCACAATAAAAACTTCCCTAACTAGACACGTTATAAATGGGCAGGAACCGATAGCACGTTACCAACTAATAAAATCTAGTTTTATGACAATCAATTACAAATCCTAATTTTCCTAATGCATCGATCTTTGCCTTTTCTAAGTGATTGTTTGGATAGGGAGGGGTTAGCCACGGAAGTCATCCCTCCATCGTCGGTTGCATCCCTCACCCACGTCGCTGCTACGGGATCTTCATCCGTCATCCTGAGCAATCGCGGCGGGGATGCGTGCGAGCTTCACGATAGTGGGGAGGACTAGGCCATGGTGAAGATAGGCCATGCGCTCGCCAAGCTCCACGAACGGAACATGCACACAGAGGCGGTAGCGCGGGGTGGCAGCCGGCAATGAGAGGCGGTCGCGCTACGTGATGAGATAAAAAAAACCTCAATAAAAACCTTTCTCGCTTTGTCCGCTCGCCCACGGCCTGCCACTCATCGACGTCTCCGATCCCTCAGCCTTATCCATGCACGCGCGCTCCCAGCTGCCGACAGAGATGGAGTGCCGCTCCTGAACAAAGCTAATCTCCCCCAGCCAGCGCCTCCGAGCTGATGCAGCTCGTCGGCATTGCCCTCGCGCCTCTCCTTGTCTCCCCTCACGTGCCTCCCTCTCCCTGTGGCGAGTGAAAAGCAAAAAGCCACCACATTTGGGGCATCGTTTGCGGAAAACCACCAAGTCACTATTTTTTTGCAAAAATCACCGTGGATTTGGTACACATTTTGCAAATAGCATTGATCAGGTGATTTGACCCATTTGAGAAAGGAGATTCAGATGGAGAATTCGTCCAATAAAGAATCAAGAATAAGTGTGTGACCGAGAGAAAGAGTATCAAGGTAGGGGAATGTATCAGGTTATACCATTCCTTACATGATACCATGATACCAACTTGCAAAACTCAAATTTAAAAATGTCAAAAAAAATGAAAAAAATCATGGATGTTAACAACGCACATGTCGACAACCACTAAAAATTCAGATTGGAATTCGAAATACACAAGGAGAGACAAAGAAGAAACATTCAGATGTGAATAGTGTCATTCTTGCTTTTGTCTTCTTTTGAAACTATTAATGATGTATTTCTCTTTTTTGTTTCTCTTTGTGTATTTTGAATCTGAATTTTTTAGGGGCTGTCAACATATGTGTTGTGAACATCCATGATTTTTTCAGATTTTCTTGACATGTTTAAATTTGAATTTTGCAAGTTGGTATTATGGTATCATGTAAAGACTGGTATCAGCTGATATATCCATCAAGGTAGTGCACCATGGTAGAAGAGCTAAGAAGCGAGGCACATATGCTCGCTTATTTCGAAAGTGCCTTCCTGCTCCCAATCTCATTTGAGCTCGGTGAATAGTAAAATAAAAAAATAAAAAAAATAAAAAAATTCCAAATTTTTTTGGGGAGAAACATTGATAAACGTTCTAAGTGCTTGCAAAAATTCATCATGAAATCACATTCCTGTAAGGCGTGGCAAAAGAAACAAATTCAGGCTCCAAAATGCTTTTGAAAGTAGCATTTTCAGAGTCCCGATTTTGTTTTTTTGCCATGCCTTCTAGAAATGTGATTTCATGACGAATTTTTGCAAGCACTTAAAACTTTTGTCAATGTTTCTTCCAAAAAAAATTGGAATTTTTTGAATTTTTTTTTATTTTACTGTTCACCCGAGCTCAAATGAGCTCGGGTGCAAAAACTCCACGTCCCAGCTTATTTCCTCTATTTTCTGGGATTAACACTTTGGACATTTCAACATGCCATTGTTTCAAAATTCTTTGTAGCCGAAATATGTACATGGTGATGTGGTGCATGATACTTGTTGAGTACTCCTTCCATCAAACTTTGTTACTTTAAATAGTGCTGATGTGGAGCATGAAAACATATTATCTAAAGCATAGAAGATAGAGGCGGACTGATTTGGTTGCCCCCACTACTAAATATATTTATACGGGTGAATGTGGTCCACAAATAATGGTGGTATATGTCCTAATTTATCATTAATATCAAGGTAGCATGCCTAATGTGTAACATTGTCTTGTGACAAGAAAGAAACACAATAAATATATTCGTTATAGTTGTAGAAGGCAAAACACAATGGAGATATTTGTTAGAGTTGGAGGAGAAAAAATAGCACATCAGAGCTATGTTGAATAAAGCAAGACAATCACGAACCAGACATGTGCAGGCGAAGAGGTTAAGGGAGAGGAGAGAAACAATGATGTTTGTCATGCTTTGGATCAACATTTTCTTTGATGGGTGCGAGCGGGAACGAAGCCACGCGGTCCACGGGGACGAAGATGGAAATCTTCGGCTGCGACAAAGGCTGGCGGCGGGTGGGAATCTCCTTCGGCGACGGCGGTCTGCTTTGCATGGCTTGTGTCAAGACAAATGGGAAAGAGAAGGGTGAATGAGTGGAGGTTGTTTCTAATGAATACAAGGTGCTCTTCAAAACATACAACCAAATGGG